CGTGTGGGGGACGCGCGCCTCAAAGGAGGCAAAGGCAGCGGGTACCTCTGGGTGGCAGAACTACAAACCACTTTTCTTGTCTGATCTCCGCATTTTACAAAATTTCCTTGACCTGTGCATTTATTACACGCACGCACACCCCCCACCCCAGGGGTCTCATACCAGGCTTTGTCTTAACTGGAGATAACGTGAAAATAAAGGAAGGAAAAAGGGGAAGGAAAAAAGAAAAAAGGCTGGTTGCTACGCCAGTCTCGAGGCCAGCTGCCTTGAGGGCGGGTTGCCCCAGCCTGCTGCCCTTGCCCTTCACACCTCCTGGACCCAGGACCACCGGAAGCAGAGGTGACAGTCCTCCCGACACCGAGGCTGCCGGCTCTTCCCTCCCTCACGGGGCTTGACTACCTGGCCCAGCGTGAGGGCTGCCGAACCTCACGTAAAGGGTTCTGCCAAGTGGCAGCAGAAAGCTGAGTCATCAGTCACAGGTGGGGCTGGGAGAATCTGATCTATAAAACCTACAGCTTCGTGACGGGTCCCTCGGAGCTTTGGACGGGGCACTTCCTGTTCCCAAAGCAACACGGCAATACCCGGATGATAAAACAGCAGCCCGGAGAGGGGACCAGAGCTGCTGACAGCAAAACTGACAAGACCGGCTGCTTGAGAGAATTCTGACGGACGAGCCACGGAACCGGTTTTACAGACAAAAGATTCTCCTTTTGTCACAGGTGCTGCCGGGGCTGCGAAGGGGCCCAGCCCCGTGCGGCAGCCTCAGAGCAAGCGCACAGCAGAGGGCTGCGTGGCTGGCGGAGCTGGGCTTCGATGCAGGCTCTGCCATGGCGGCTGTACGCCTCGGCTCTCAGCGGCCAGCGTGGTGGCCAGCACAGCTGGCGGCACCCGCCACACTGCTGCTCAGCCTTTGGACAAGCCTCAGCCCGCTGTGCACCCCTGGGTGCCCTTCTGCCCTCGAGAGGTGCTTCCGGGATGAGCTCGCAGAATCCTCCGAACCGAACTAGAGCAAGAACTCGGCCCGAGGAGGCTCCCCTCCACGTCTCCGCAAATGGGCCTCCCCACCCGCGGTGTCCTCCAGACTGCAGGGCCGCGGTCACACCTGTATACTCCCTGGGGGAAGCCGTGTCTCCATTCTTGAAGAACTTGATCGTAGGGTAGCCGCGGACGCCATACTGCTGGGCCAGGTCAGACTCCTCCGTGGCGTCTACCTTGGCCAGTCTGATCTCGGAACCTTCCGCCTTCAGTTTTCCAGCCGCTTTGGCATACTCGGGGGCCAGGGCCTTGCAGTGGCCGCACCAAGGGGCATCTGAAAAGGAGAGCGAGACGCTGGAGAGCAGCACCAGCCCCAGCTCCTGGCCTCCCACCCCTTCTCCCGGTGCTTCGCTCCGTGAAGACCTGATCTCCTCGCCCAGATGACCCCTCCGAACGCACAGGGCTGAGCTGACAGCCCGGCGCTCTTGGGCAATATCGGGACAGAGGCGGTGCCTGACAAACCAGCACCACCCCCCTCTGCTTCGTCACTGTTCAGCCCAGGAAGACAAATGCTGTAATGATTAGCAGCTCCCTACCACCTGCACGCAGACCACTGGGGCAGCCCGCGTCCTGGAGTTTCCCTCAGGAGCGCTGAGAAGTTCAGAGGCTGCCGCTGCCACACCGAGTTACGCCCAGTCCTGAGTAGGTGACACACATCTGTGCACACCTGCCCAGAGACTCGTACTTAGATCTGGCCCTGCACACTGGGGACCAGACCGCCTCCCAACCCAGGTTAGCAGCTGTGCTGGGCCTAAGACTTCCATCCCTGACAGTCAAGGCTCAAACACTCAGAAACACAGAGGTCTGGGTTCTGGCGGGAGATACGGTACCATCCAACGGAGCGTCGCTGCCCTGGGTTGGAGGTGGTGCGGGCAGGAGCGGGGCACTTCAGGGAGCAGTTAGGGGTCTGGCCCCGGGCCTATTCCTTTGTATTTGTGGCAGCTCACACAGGCGACCATGTTTCCCCTAGGCTAACGGAGGGACCCTGCCAAGTGGCTGTCAGGCACAATGGAGTCCTGGCTCTCAGCTCTGTCACCCTTAGGGTCCGGCTGTTGTCCCCAGAACGCCGGCAGTGCAGGGACAGTGACAGCAGGTCTGTGGGCTGTTTCAATGGAGGATGAGCCTGCCTAGGGGCTGGGAGCCAGCCTGTCCAGGGTTGGCCTGAGCGTTGACAGCCCTGAGGACCCCAACCCACTGTGAGGTTGGAGGAGGGAGGGTGGAGAAGGAAGCCCGGCCCTCTGTCCCGCGGCCCGATCAGTCCCCACTCTGTTCCCTCTGCGCCTCCTCCGTCCGCTGTCCCCGCCCCGTTTCCCGCTGCGTCCCCAGCCTTCCACCCCTGGACCTCCACGGCCCCCTGCGTCGCTCGGTCCCGGTCCCTGTCACCACCCTGCGACAGCGGCGAGGCCCGGACGGCACTCACAGAACTCCACCAGCAGGTACTTGTGGGCCGCCAGCGCCTCCTCGAAGTTGCCCTTGTGCAGCACCAGGACGTGGTCCTCCTCGTCGGGGTCGGCGCCCGCGCGACCTAGCGCGGCCAGGGCCAGGCAGAGCAGAACGCGGCGCAGCATGTCGGCAGCGGGAGCGGCGCTTCAGTTGGCGCCGCCGGACAGCGAGGCCTCGAGAGCGCGCACCGCCCGCCCCGCTCTTATAAACCCGGCTGCCCCCCGCGCGCCCGCGTGCGCCCGCGCCCGATTGGCCAGCCACTCCGGGGCTCGCCTCCGCCGCGCTCTGATTGGATGTCCACGCCGGCCCCCGCCCTGAATTCGGGATAGCTACGGAGGCCTCCTGTGCCCTGGCCCGGGATTGGCCGAGAGGGTCGCGCTCGCACTCTTCCCCAGCCTCTCATTGGCTCTCAGCGCAGAACTTTCTCTCCCTCGACTTGTGACTGGCGGCTTTCTCCTACACTTTCCTCGGGTCTGGAATGGCTGCCACTTTCGGAGGCCGCGGCTCTGCGGCTCCCGATTGGCCAAGAGGTGCGCGCACCCCGCGCGATCCTTCGTCGAACGTGGCAGTGGGGCGGAGTCCGCCGCCGAGGGGCGGGGCTGCGCCTGCGCCTCCGAAACCCCTCGTGTTGCATTCTGACTGGACCGCGTCTCCGTAACTGGCACCGCCCCCGGCTCGGCGAGCCGGAAGCTGGGCTGACGCAACTTCCGGCGCGCGTGAGGTCCGTGTGGCTCCTGCCCGAGAATCTAGGCTCGGGCGCGGCCGGTGACTGGCCGGCCAGTTCTGTACCAGCGGCTGGTGGAGCGGGGAAGGCCGAAACCGGACACGATGGCGCCTGGGAAGATCACGGGGAGGGGCTCCGGTGCTGGGCCCGGGAATTGAGATTCCTAGGCCCCAGCGCGAGCGCCTACACAGGGCGGGGTGGAGGAAGGGGAGGTTGGGCGGGTCCAACCTGAAGGTCCAGAAACCGAGAAACCGACCCAGGGTGCCCCGCAGAAGTTGCGCAAGTGCTGGGGCCGGCGGCGGCCGGGGAGGAGCCCTCGGCGCCCCCAGTCCCCCCGGACGGAGGACCTCAGGGCCGACGCGTCCCTTTCTTCCCCTTGGTTGCCACATCCTACGAAGCCATGCGATGCTTCTCAGGCGCTGTGGGCAGCTGCCGCAAAAGGCGCCCACGGCCCCACGCAGCTCCCTCCGGACTCGCGCTGTGCACGGTGGTGGCTCGCTGCCACCGAGGCTGCTGGGCGCTTGAGGTTTCATTGGCCCGACTGAGATGGGCCCAGAGTGTAACATCCACCGGGCTCAAGGCAAAGCGTACGGCCAGGGAATGTACGATATTCCCTTAATGACACATTTTGACATGTTGGAATATTTGGTGCTAAATACAGATATTAAATCAATCGGGTTCATTACATATGGTAGAGTAAAAATAAGCAATTTCACATGCTTTAAGTTTTTTGTTTTTTGTTTTTAACGTGGTTTCTAGGAAATTGAATACACGTTGCTCACATTTTATTTCTGCCGGAAGGTGCTGCCTAGAGGGATCCGCTCTCCCTCTGCTCAAGGCCTCCCACCGGCGGCCCCCGCCCCATTCCTCCGACCCTCCTCCAGGAAGCTTTCCTCTTCATTTATAGTCACTTCCTCGTTTGTGAAACGCACCACCGCCGATTTTAAGACTTCAATTTAATAATTTGGCAGAGAAAAACACTCCTATATTAGATGTACAGGTTGACTAATATCCTAATTTCAGAAATAGTGAAACTGCATTTTTACTTTTGAGAGTTTGCATTTGTTAATACGTTGCTTTTGAAGGCATATTCTCTATGTGGGACTCCTCCAACTAGAACACAAATTTGTGAAGGTCACTACCAAGTTCTCTGTGTGCCTCCCGCACTTCCAGTAGAGCACGGGTCAGTCAGAGGTGGCTGTACCTGCTGGGATACCTGTCTGCTTCACCGGGGTGACTTTACAGGAGCTGGACTTTCCTGTGTAGAAAGGCTACAGACGAGCCTCAGCGGTGTTCCCTCCACCCCAGCTCAGTGGGGCCTTGGGTGCTCACTCTTCATAACTAGTAATTGCAGGCACAGCTCCTCTGCTCCTGGGGACAGGTGTGGATTGCCTCTTGTCCACTGCCCTAACCCCCAAGGTTTTTATAATTGCCATGACCCTATTTTACAGACCACAACTTGGGGCCTGAGACACGGGACATTTGTACCGTATCTAGACCAGAAGCATTCATGAGGTCAGAGTTTAGATGCCCAGATATTGGGGCTCGAGCATTTTTGGCTGGTGGGGCAGAGCGAAGGGATTTGCGACACCATGACGATTACTTTGCGGTGGTTTGGAGGCAGCGTAGTCCCAGAGCACACAGTGGAGAATTTGCAAAGATGGGAACACTGGGGATGAGGGGAGCGCAGCCCAGGATCCAAGCTGCGGACTGTGCTCGAGCCTCCCTCTGGATGTTGGTCTCCATGGCGGAAGCTGAGGGCAATTGGAATACACCATGCGGATATCGGATATGGACAGGGCCAGGTGGCCACAGCCAAGTCGTCGCTTTGGGAAAACCAGGGCTGGAGTGGGAGCTGGAAAATGGGGTTCTCAAAGCTAGAGGGAGGCCTGGTTTGGGGCTCGCTTGGGCTCCCATCCGGGGTTGGTCAGTAGCTGGGTGAGGGAGGTGTGGAGGTACACCCAGCCCCCCACAGCACAGGCCCTTTTGCTGAATACCTCTGCAGGCCTCAGCCCCAGGGTGGGGGTAGGGGGGGCTGCTGCTCACTCTTGTTCCCTGGCCCTGGGTTGGAGTTGCCCTGGGAGGTCAGAGCAGCCTGCCCTTGTGGCTGTGGCATCTCTTTGGACTGATAGCCATTGTAGGACGTCCTCCAGGAGTCTCGCATGCTCAGAGAAGGTACCCATTAAAAATCTGTCGAATTACTGAGTGACGAGATGTTTTGATAAATACTACTCTCAAGAGTCCTCAGAGTAAAACGGCTTCCTTCCCACCTGCAATGGGGGTGGAGGTATGGAGGGGTGAACAGCAGGCTCATGGACAACCAGGCAGTGCTCCCTGGCCATGAAACAGCCCCATGAAATAGCCAGGTCCCTACTACCAAGCAGCAGCGGAGGACGGAGGGCTGTGCCGTTGGTGACGCAGCCCGACGTGGGCGAGCTCGGGCACAGGTGAGCGCGGACCCAGGAGGGAGGCGTGTGGCACGCACGGCCTGGTGGACGGGCACGGGCGCTGGCTGCAGTGTGGGACAGTGCCGGGCCTGGGGAGAGTCTCGTCAGTCATAGTAACTGGTGATTAGGCGGTCACACCAAAGGCCCTGACCTGGCAACAGCTAGCACCCCTTACTGGAAAAAGGGCCCATCTGGGGGTGAAGAGGCAGAAGCTGGGGTGACTGGGGGTCATGGGGAGAGGGAGAAGAGCAGAAGGGACCACAGGCCCTGGCTCACTGGGGCTGGGAGGCCAGGCCCAGAAACACCGGGCAGTACAGAGGGCTCAGGGCAGGACTAGAGAACCAGGTTAGACTTGGGACCTGAGGGACACGTCACACAGTTCCTGCAGGTGCCACTTCATGTCACCCTTCCCCAGGGAGGAGCCAGAACAAAGTCCTGGCCGTTGGCAGTGTGCCTGTGCAACTTGGCACTCAGGGGCCGAGTTCACGTTTAACTAAAACTGGGAAGATATGAGAAAAACAGGAAGTGTTTTGTCCCAACAGAGTTTCAGCAGGCCCTGGTCCGACGGACTGACCTGCTGACAGCACAGGCTGCCCCTAGTGCCACACTCGCTGGACCCTCTAGGATGAGCTGGAAGCCGAGGTGGCTGCTTCAGCAGCTGAGACGTGCCGCGCCCGCGCCTGGCCTCTCCAGCAGTAGGGACGGAGGCCAGAGGTGGCTGCACGTTTCGTGGGAAAGGCCTGGGGCCCTGCAGCCTTATGCTGTGCAGTCTCGCTGCCTCCCCCTGCCCGAGCCTGGCCCCCTGGACAGAGGGCAGCGGTTCTGAGAGGCCGGGTAGGGTCTTTGTCCCTGTGAAATGGGGAGCCAGGGGCCTAGGCTGCTCTTGGATCTGTCTGGGCCATTTTGTCCTGTCATTTAGCCCGGGACCCAGCTTCCAGAATCCCACAGGGGTCCTGGTAAGAGGGCTGAGGAGGCAACCAGCCCTGAGGGAGCTGTGCTGGCACATGTGGGGGGCAAGAGGGTCTGCCCCAGGTGGCAAGGCTCCCTGTGCTGATAAGCATGGGAAGTGGCAGGCCCAGAAGGTATGGTCAGGACAGGGCTCTGGGACAGCAACGTCCTCCAGATAACTAAGTGACACATAACCGCTTTTTTAACGGGCTCAGACCACAGAAAGAGGGCAGATTTCAAAACCTGCACGGGTCAAGAAGGGGCATTTCTGGAACTTATCTGTTTGGCGCTTGATCACCCACCTGCTCTTTCCCATCCCGTGGCTGGGGAGGGGGCGTCAGGTACTGCGCACCCTTAGGAGTGATGCTCAGAGAGAAGGCAGCACTGTACCCACCAACCTGAGGTCCTGCAGAGACCCTGCCGGTCAGAGGGACCGGCCAGCCGGTGCTCCTGGCCCCTTTTGCGCCCCCACACAGCTAGGGATGCTGCCTCTCCCGCCGTGTGACCTCGCCCGCGCTGGGGTTTGGCCTGCCTTTCCCGGCCCGAGGCCTCCTTCCCCTCTATCCTCACAGCCCAGCCACGGGCTCGCCCACACACCCTGCAGACCCACAGCTTGGGGTCACTGTCCCTGGGACCCCTCAGACCCGGTCATCCCTTTGGTCCCCATGCGTGCTATGGCGGAGCTCAGGAGGCTTCAGCGAGGTTCCCCTTCTTTGGGGTTGGGGTGTTTCCGCAACCCGGGTGGCGACCAGGCCCCGGGTGACTGGAATGCGCAACGCCAGGGGGCACACTCCAGAGAGCTGGAGACGGGACTGCACCCCGCCCACAGAGCCCCAAAGGCCATTCAGGTCTGGGGCCTGTACCATGCACAGGGCAGCCCGCGGGTCATGCTTGCACAGACGGGGCTCCCTCCCAACGCTCTCCGTCAACAGCCCAGGGCCCTGGGGACCACACCAGGCCCCTGCGGGCAGCAGAGCCGGCCCCACCCTCTTCCACTGGGACACAAGCAGCAGACACTGGCTCCTCTGGGGGGGAGTTTATTTCCTGGTCTGAAAAGGAGAAGCAGGGACGGGTTCCTGTGTTCCAGCCCGGGCCTGACCAGCGAGGGGAGGGGTGGCACAGGGGACAGCTCCGACTGTGCATGCTTGGTCCCACGGGTGTCCTGGCTGGGTCCGGGGAGGGCCTGCCAGGGATGGTGGCACCGAGCCTGGGGGCAGAGGTGGCAGGCCAGCGGGCCCAGAGGACGGCACATATGGAGGCAATAAATACTGACAGGCCAGGCATGCCACTCCAGGCCGGTGGGCCCAGGTGGGACAAGTAAGGCTCGGCTGCTGGCTTTGTCCACCGAGGGCTGTCTGTCGGGGCTGTGGGGTCTGGGTCTGGGTGCTGCCCACTGGGACAAAGAAGGCAGAGGCATGAGGACACCCAGCCTCCCCGATGAGACTGGAGGCGACTTGAGTTTTGGCAATTTGGCTTTCCCTAAGCGCCTGGGACTGTCCCCACAGCCCGGGCTAGGGGAGGGCCACGGGGAGGGGGCTGGCCAGGCCCTGGCAGGCCGGGGAACAGCAGCAGCACATCCTACACCTCCCTGGGCGACCGGGACTGCAGCTGGGAAAGGGACTGGGGGAGACCACATGCTCATGCAGACACAGGGGTCAGAGATTAGTGACGGCCCCACGCACACGTTCTGCATGTTAAGGCATCATGGTTAGATGGTTACTGACAACGGTGGGCAAGCTGACCAGGGAAGAGTGACAGCTGGGGGACGGCTGGTCCCCACAAGGCCCTGCATCATGCACCCCACCCCCACCCCGCAGGGGGAGACGATGGGAGTTGGGGCAACTGAAACCACGAGACCCCATCCAATGCCCCACTGCCTCGGAAAAGCCAGGGCCTCAGGCGGGGTCAGGACAGGTGGGGGAACGTGGAGGGACACAGAGGGGGAGGGGGAGGCCTGGGCTACGGCCGTCCTCCCCTCACAGCACAGAATGAAGCAGCAGTGACACGAGACCACCCAGGAGGCTGGGGGCTGCAGGCTGGGGAGGGTCGAGGGGGGCCGGGCTGGCCGGGAGGCGGACCAGGGGGAAAGACCGCAGCGTGGGCAGGCGCCCTGTCAGCACTTTGGTATGGGGGTGGGGGAGGGGTGGGGGGTGCGCCCCGCCATCACCCTGCCTGCCTCCAGGCCTACGCTCAGTCCTTCCACTCCTTCTTGATGGTGAGATTCCACTCCCAGGACAGGTGATCAGTCTTGTCGTCGTCTGTGAAGCGGGACTTGATGTTGTAGCTCCCGCGGGCCAGCATGCCCTTCGGCGCCTCCTCCACGGGCGTCAGGAACTCGTACTCCTCGGCGCGCGGCCCGTAGCTCCCCACCATGTAGTCGGTCTTGTCGACTGCAGTGCGGGAGACGGGGGTCAGCGGGCAGAGCTGGCCGAGGGCGCACCCCACCGCCACCCTCCCGCCCCATCACTCACTCCTGACGCCTTTCCGGAACGTGTGCTGGATGTACTTCATGCCGGACACGATCTCTCGGTTCACCTGCGGCTCCTCTGCCAGCCGGGCTCAGCAGGGCTCAGCAGGGCTCAGCCGGGCTCTCCTGCCCCGGCCCCACCTGGTGCATCCTTGGGCCTCCACCTTACCCGGAAAGAGATCTTTATCCGATACTCCACACCCTCTTTCAGCACAAACGACTGCTTCTTGAAGCTCTCCAGGTCCCCTGGGTTCGGGAGGACACTGCGCTAGGAGGCTCAGCCACGGGAAGCTGCTCACCTCAGCACCCCCATCTGTGACTGTCCCTTCCACTCCCCAGACCCTGGCCCACACGGCCCCTGGCACCCCGACCCAGGCGCGGGTCCCCTCCAAAGCCCAAGCCAGAACCTTCCAAGGCCACTTGGCTGCACTTCCTGTGCTCCCCACGTGAGGGCGCCTGCTCTCCAGAGAACTATTTTTAGGGGCAGCCTCTGAGGTACCACTCACCAGACAGGTCCAGCTCCAGGGGGCCCGGGGCTGTGCTGCACACCAGGGTCAGGCGGGTCACAACAACGTTGGGGACATTGGGGTCTGTGGAGTGACAGCAGGTCAGAGCTCCACCTCCTCAGCATCCCACCTCAAGCACACAGCCTGGGGCCAGCAGGAGGAGCCAGAAGAGGAACAGGCGCCGCTCTGGGCCACCCACTCACCAGCGGCCACAGCCACACGGCCCAGCAGGGCCTCTTTGTACTTGCGCAGACTCTCGTCGTCCTTGTCCAGCTCCTGGATCTCCTGGATGCTCTTCTGGGCCGGGGGCCGGTAGCCCACCGAGTGCTCGTCCTCCTCGTTGTCCGCCGCAATCTGCGCCAACTGCTCGGCGGTGGGCTCCTGCTCGGCCATGCTGCCTCTAGCTGGATCTGCCACACCTGTGGGTGGGACAGACTATGGTGACCTGGAGGGGGCCGGTGTCTCCCCTTCCCACGAGGCCTCTGCAGGTGGTCAGGCCCCGCGTCTGCACCCGAGGGGGAACGCGCCTTCCAGAGCAGGTGGGCGGCTGCAGCCAGGCATCTGTAAAGGGCCCGGATGCAGGCTCCTGAAGCCCAGCGGGGCCACACTGACCTCTGCCCTGCCTACCTCTGGGGACCTGCTGAGACAGTCTGAGGACCCATGGGACCTGCAGCCTGCCCCCAGAGAGACGCAGCAACCCCAGCTCAGAGTCGCCTCGAGTTCTGCTGCTTGTCCTGAGTCACCCAGGTCCCCAGCCCCAGGGGTCCCTGCTGCTGGCTCAGGGAGCTGCTCCCCAACCGTGGACGCCTCGGACCTCGATCCAGCGGGGAAGCAAGGCCTCCATGCACGACACAAGTCAGTTCTGCCTCGCCGTGCAAATGCGAGGCTCTCCTGGAACTCAGATAAAGGGGCCAGCCTGAGTCCCACAGGTTTCTCACAAGGGCACGGGAATCCTGTCCGCCCACGTTCCTTCCTGTTGTGACGGTGTGTGACCTAGAGCTAGGACCTGCTGCAGCCTCTTGGTGCTCTCAGGACCCTCCTTCCGGACCCTGGTCCAGAAGAGTCTGCAGCAGCGCTGTCCAGCAGGAGCGGCACGACTGAGGCTATGGTTCCCTATCACACGCCCCAGGACCTCGGATGGGGTCGATGAAGCCCGCTCGGGTCCGCCCACGCCTATGGAAGGTGGGTCGGGGCCCAGCTGACCCCGGAACTCAGGTGGCCACGGGAAGGTAAACAACGCCTTTTCTCCGGATCCAGCCTGGCAGCCAGGACGTGCCCAAGTACCAGGTCTCACAAAGGGCCACTGGGCACCTAGAGCGGGCCGGCCGCCGCAGGCAGGGTGGGGCCGCCGGCTCTTCCAGGCCTCCCAGCCGCTTCCTCTGGAATTCCTGTAGAAGGCTCACGCCCTAACGCCACCCAGTGCGGCCGCAGGCGACAGGATCCTCCGAGAGCGATGCCGCCGCCCGTACTTTCGCTGGGCCCCGCAATCTGGGCCAGGCGCGGGGTGGGGTTAAGTGGGGTGGGGAGCTCGGGGATGTCCAGAAGACGGGCGCGCCTTCTTCGGGGTAAGGGCGTCAGGCCTGGTCCCTTCCCGCGCGCACCGGCTGGGAAGGTGGGCCCGAGGGCCACTGGCGCGGCCACAAAGGAGGCCTGCCCCAGCCCGCGCCC